AACTTTCGAAATAATTTTTTGCCGTCGGCAACTTTAGCGCCCAGTTTAACCCCGAAAATTAAATTTTTAAACTCTCAAAATAGTGCCACCCTTAATGTTTTTAAATGCGTTGTAACTTACCGGACTTCAATAAAAACATGGTTTTGAAGATTGTTGCAAACTCGCCGTTTCAAGAGCTTTCGAATGGTGTCACTATCATTCTGATCCGATGCTTCTCCATCGAGTTAGAGGGGGGTGTTTTTTTATTGGGACAGCCTGTACCGGGACATCCCGTGGTAAGAACAACGCTATGTGAAAAATGTGGTTTTAAGCAAACAAAGTAGGTCCCCTCACCGACGATGCGAAAAAACCACAATTTTTAACGACTTTTTGTGACAAAGACAGTACCAATTTTCATAAGAACCAGGGTTGAAAAGCCGCTTCGCGACTTTTCAACCCTGGCCCCGTCTGATCGCATGATATACTTCACTTTGCATCATTCTTTGATTTCCGATGACAAAAATGAAAATCGCGCTCGCTAGCCCATTATATAGGCGACCGGAACTTCCGGCGCATGCTAATTTTTTTCCTAACAAAGAGGAACGCCGATTTTCCAACAAAAACTTAAGTTTAATGTCGAAAATAGGCAATTTTGATAAATCTGATCTGCGTGCAGTCATCTCAGGGCCATTATGCACCTAATGACGTATCGTATTTAGCCTAATACCTTCCCCTCTTGAGATAGCCTCCGGACAGAATGACGGAAGTTGCATGCAAAGTGGCACAGACACACACACACACACAAACACTATTTTTTATATATAGTAGGATTTGCAATATTCTGTTTAGGCCGTAAGGGATACCTCGGGAAAGGCCAGCCCCTCCCTACCAGCAAGCCCCAAGTTAGTATAAAAAATCTGTTTGATACTCTGTTTCAAAGGCATAGAGCAAAATGGCTTACATCGTGTCGCGGCTGCGGCACCAGATCGACATCCAGATGCCTTTCCGCGCCAGCTTCTCCTCGACCAGCCCATTCTGTAGTTGTAGCCGAGGCAGCCGATTGGGCAGCCGCTGCGGAAGGCAATCCAGCCTTAAATTTGGAAAGTATCTTTGTAGTGAATCTGTAAACCGGCGCAAGATTGGTAGAAAAGTTTGCAATAAGAAAGTTCTGCTCATTTGGCAACATTTTCTATGACCTTTGCATGGGGAATGTGGCTTGCGATAGGTCGTTTTCTTGAAGTTTCAAATTCCTTTTAAAAGTAATCAAAAATTTAACATGGTCTGATTTACCTGACCACGAGCCGAGAAACCGCGGAACACGTAGTAGATGGAGCTGATGATGGCCACAAAGAAGACACCGAAACCTAAAAAAAAGCGGCAATTCAGAGTGGATTATGAAGGTAAGGGTTATTCCAAAATTTGGAACTGTCAGGCATTGTAAAAGCTTGCGCGCCTTCTCTGCCCTGTTGGCTACGTGCCAGAAAGGCGATCAGGGGCCCTTTTCACCCGGTTAAACTGCGTTTTTGACGAAAAAAAGCCTATAATTTTTGCCGAAAAATGCTAAAAATCAAACAAAAAAGAATCCGGAAATTTCGAAATTTCGAGTGGCGTGCTAGACTCGCCTTTTCTAGAGCTATCGATCGATGACTCACTCGTAAAATTCACACGTCTGGAACAGGAAGGTGATTTTTTGGGAAGCCCGGTTGATCATAAAACGAAAAGAGGGCGTCCCTTTCATTTTTGGTTGTCGGTTTTTGGCACGAATTTGCGACGTCAATATTCATAGATGGGGCCCGGGTTAAAGAGCCGCGAAGCTGGGTTTTGACATGGGCAACAAATTAAATAACAAACTCAAAAACTTTCTGCTGAACGTTCCGAAAACCCAGTTTCAAATGTTCATAACTTTTGTGAGTTCTAGTTCGTTAGCGGGAAGGGGCGGGAAGAAGAAGATAGAATATGACTGATTGTCATCGCAGACCCACATCCAAAGATGCCGTTGGGCTCCGTGTCTTGCGGTGGGTTGAATGCTTCGACTTCTTCCGTGCTCGTAACTAAAAGATGTATTGTAAGATGTTAAGGCTATCTGGTCAAGTACCGTATGTAGAGTCGGTAGTAGAACTTGTTCCGGACAACCCGTCGTCGTCGCAACAATCGAAATCGACTGCCACATGCGTAGCCGAAATACCTAAAGACATTCGATCCAGACTACCATACAATTGCCAGCAACGCCGTTTGGTTCTTGTGTATTCCCGGGGGGGATCGAACTTTTCTTTGTCGGGCCTGGTGGGGACAGTAATCAAATATAAAGTGTTTTCACATTGTTTTTAGCAAAATTTAAGCCTATTTGAATCGGAAAAACTTTTTAAAAAGTTAGAAAAACGCTTGAAAAAGTCGAAAATTTGGTCATTTTTGGGCCGGAAAAAATCGCTGTTTCGACCTAAAATTAAATTTTTTAATTAAATGTTGTAAAGTTTGTATGTTTAGGAATAGCTATAAACAATTTAAAAACACTTCCATTATTTATATAAAAAATAGGCTTGGGCCAAAAAAAGTTCAGTTCCCCGGGAATACACAAGAACCCGCGGTTTCTCCATATATCGTAAAAAAATTTACATGCGAGGTCTCTTTCCATAAGAGCAAAAAAGTTTTTACATGCAAAACCCTCGATCCAATTTCTGGAGGTAACACTTATACTAAACTGTGGTGTCTCACATTTTACACAGTTGTATTCTCTTCCAAAAGAAAGCCCGACTACAATTATCAAGCCGCTAGCTGGCTTAGAGTCCAAATTGTGCGGTGATTCTATAGTTTCCCGGCAAAGGTTGCTTAACGGGGGGAGAAATAACGGGGGTGGTAACCATTTTGCCCCTTTAGAGATCTGTCGTGCCAATTCCAGCATGCCATCGGATAGAGCGAGCAAACCAGGTAGGCTTAACATCTTACAATACATCTTTTAGTTCTGAACACTACCGAAACTGTCCTACGAACCGCAGGGAACAGAGCCGCCCCGCAGCCCGATGCTTGGATGTGGGTCTGCGATGACAATCAGTCGAAAAATATACTAAGAGATTTAATTTCAGCTAGAGATACCACAATTTGAAATTATTACTTTATTAAGCTAAAAAGTTTATTCAATTAAAAATGGTTAAAAATGAAGTTTTTTGGGCTGACAATAAATCTCTTAGTATATTTCGACCCTTTATCCGATGGCGTTTTCAAAATAGCAGGATATCTTTATAAATACAAAATTGTTTCCACCCCCGTTATTTGTCCCCCCCGTTAAGCAACCTTTATCAGTTTTCCCATGGAGTGAATTATATACCAACCAGCGCCCAAAACCCGCTTCGCGGGCCTTGGGCGCAGGAATGCGGCCTTTGCATGAGAAATTTGACTTTTCGATAGCTCGGCTCCTTCAGACCCCCTCTCCCCCCAACCGACCACACACGCGAGCGCAACTGGCAAGAATGAGGAAATTTCCATTTTTTCACATTATGCAAATTAGCTCGCCTGGAGCCCCGTAATGAACAAAACTGGCTTTAACTTTGTAAACTTGTCTTTTATTAAAATTCTGAACACGCCATCGGAAACAGAAGGGTTGATTCCACGAAGTGACGGAGAATTGAGACGTTTTGGACACGGGAAGGCCCTCAAATCTGGCCTCGAAACTGAACTCCGCACACACACACACAAAGATAGACGCCAAAATTATATAAGGTAGGATGTCCAAAAAAAATCGGCCCACCGAGAGGTCGCTGCACTGCCCGATTTTATGCTTTAGGTACCATCAAAAGCTCTTGAAATGGCGAGAAAACAAGCAGTTTTCGGTTTCTAGATTATGTGATTTAATTTGGCATTTTTTTAGACGGAAAACTGTGAAAAGAACTTCTTTGTTTTTGGCAAATTGGTTTCGAGAGCCAAAAATTAAAAAATGCATTGGCGTGCCCCCTTCCCCCCCGCAGATAACGAACGAGAAACGGAACCGCCACTAACGGTGCCGTTTCGGGCTCGACGTTTGAATGTGTTTTTTTTGCTAGATGCTAGAGAGAGATCTTATATTACATCAGTATCGAAAACGTCCCCGCGGTTTCCCTGCCCCCCCGGCCTAGAATTTTGCTTCCGGCCCAATAGAACGGTACCGCACACATGTTTTAGCAAAAGGTTTAATATAAAAAAATGCAAAATCAACTATAATAATTTTGCTCTGGTGTCCATCCGTGCGAAAACGAATTCAGCTCGAAGGGGAAAGGAGCTAGAGCTTAGGTCTCTTCGGATTCGGGTAGAGCGCGGTCAGAAATCCCCCAAACTGATAAAAAATCATGAAAAAGTTTTCGCCTAAATTATTAAATTTACTTTGGAAATGGTGCCTTAGTAACACGTGGGAACGGAGTTTAGCACGATTCTGGAAATAGTGAGCCAGGTCGCGCGCGATTCGGCCAGGGGGAGGGAGCGCAGGGGTAGCCCGAAGTCCAGCCGCTTGCAGTGGCATAACCGCTGTCAATGGCTGGTAATTCAAGACGATACCAGTTTGTTTTCTTGTCTTTTCAAGGGTTTTAGAATGGTGTAGAAACCATCCCAATCCGAGCTTTCTCCCGACTTCGAGGTCCGGGGATATTTTTTTGAGACATCCTGTATAGTAGAATATTCATTCCGCGGACAAAAGATGCGGATGATGTGGCGTGATCCACCGAAACCCACCGTCTCCTTCTCGACGCGATGTCCCCGAGAGTTCGGAAAGCTGGACCAGAGAGAGTGTTGTAGGTGGCGAACGAAGCTGACCCTTAAAGTTGGAAAGTATCCTTGTAATAAAAGTGTAAATACTAGCAACTGTAACATTGCGATAGCGCAATATAAAACTCCTGCCCTGCTAGCCAGCCCCAAGTTAATATAAAAATCCGTTTGATATTCTGTTTCAAAGGCATAGAGCAAAATGGCTTACTTGGCGGCGTTGACGAACATCGGATTCGCGTAGCTGCGATTCGTGGGTTGAACTTGTCGATGGTGTAGATGGTGATGTATCCTTAAACTTGGAAAGTATCTTTGTAGTGAATCTGTAAACCGGCGCAAGATTGGTAGAAAAGAAGAGTGAGAGAAAAAGAAAAATTCCTTTTAAAGGTAATCAAAAATTTAAAATGGTCTGATTTACCTGATCACGAGCCGAGAAACCGCGGAACACGTAGTAGATGGAGCTGATGATGGCCACAAAGAAGACACCGAAACCTAAAAAAAAGCGGCAATTCAGAGTGGATTATGAAGGTAAGGGTTATTCCAAAATTTGGAACTGTCAGGCATTGTAAAAGCTTGCGCGCCTTCTCTGCCCTGTTGGCTACGTGCCAGAAAGGCGATCAGGGGCCCTTTTCACCCGGTTAAACTGCGTTTTTGACGAAAAAAAGCCTATAATTTTTGCCGAAAAATGCTAAAAATCAAACAAAAAAGAATCCGGAAATTTCGAAATTTCGAGTGGCGTGCTAGACTCGCCTTTTCTAGAGCTATCGATCGATGAATCAATCGTAAAATTCACACGTCTGGAACAGGAGGGTGATTTTTTGGGAAGCCCTGTTGATTATAAAACGAAAAGAGGGCGTGACTTTCATTTTTTGGTTGTCGGTTTTTGGCACGAATTTGCGACGTCAATATTCATAGATGGGGCCCGGGTTAAAGAGCCGCGAAGCTGGGTTTTGACATGGGCAACAAATTAAATAACAAACTCAAAAACTTTCTGCTGAACGTTCCGAAAACCCAGTTTCAAATGTTCATAACTTTTGTGAGTTCTAGTTCGTTAGCGGGAAGGGGCGGGAAGAAGAAGATAGAATATGACTGATTGTCAGCGCAGACCCACATCCAAAGATGCCGTTGGGCTCCGTGTCTTGCGGTGGGTTGAATGCTTCGACTTCTTCCGTGCTCGTAACTAAAAGATGTATTGTAAGATGTTAAGGCTATCTGGTCAAGTACCGTATGTAGAGTCGGTAGTAGAACTTGTTCCGGACAACCCGTCGTCGTCGCAACAATCGAAATCGACTGCCACATGCGTAGCCGAAATACCTGAAGACATTCGATCCAGACTACCATACAATTGCCAGCAACGCCGTTTGGTTCTTGTGTATTCCCGGGGGGGACCGAACTTTTTCTTTGTCGGGCCTGGTGGGGACAGTAATCAAATATAAAGTGTTTTCACATTGTTTTTAGCAAAATTTAATTCTATTTGAATCGGAAAAACTTTTTAAAAAGTGAGAAAAACGCTTGAAAAGGTCGAAAATTTGGTCATTTTTGGGCCTAAAAAAAAATCGATTTTTCGACCTAAAATTAAATTTTTTAATTAAATTTTGAAAAGTTTTTATGTTTAGGAATAGCTATAAACAATTTAGAAACACTTCCATTATTTATGTAAAAAATAGGCTTGGGCCAAAAAAAGTTCAGTTCCCCCCCCCCCCGGGAATACACAAGAACCCGCGGTTTCTCCATATATCGTAAAAAAAATTTACATGCGATGTCTCTGTCCATAAGAGCATAAAAGTTTTTGGTTCTTTAGAATTCGCGGGGGGACGACCCAGTTTTTACCTGACGGTCCCGGTTACGGAGTAACCAAATATCAGGTGTTGCCAATTGTTTTAGCAAAATTTAAGCCTATGTTAATAGCCTAAAACTTCTTCAAAGTTAGGAATCCGCTTGAAAAGTCGAAAAAATTTTTGATTTTTAGGTCGACAAGATTGATTTTTCGACAAAAAGTTAAAATTTTTAATTAAATTTTGTCAGGTTTGTATGTTTAGGGATAGCTATAAACAATTTGGAAACACTTCCACTACTTTCACCCTCGCGAATTTCCCCGGACAAACGGTGTAGGGGGCGCGGAAGCATCCACTGAAACCCACGATCGCCGGCAGCTCGTGCTCGCGCAGCTTCGAGCTGTTCTTTGCGGGCGGCGAGTGTAACTTGGCGCTAAAACCCGGCTTTCGTTTATGACTCAAAGGCGAACCTCCTCGAGCGCGAGGACATCATTCTCCATCAACGGGCGCAACATCTCGTCGGCCGAGTTCACCTTAAAATTAGGTCTCGTTCTACCAGAAAGGATATCGGCTGGGGCCAACATTGTTTCGAAAATCCCACCTTCGAGACTAGTTCTGTCACTAACGTCACCCCACTCGAGCACGTCGTCTCCAGCAGCTGCAAGTGCTGCCGGGTCGACTTGACCACTTTCCGTACATCGGGGATTTCATCCTGAAAGTACTATTTTTCGAGGGATAGGGGTGAGGCTATCAATCTTTCAGCGTAACCCTGCTTACAGTGCAGTATACCCCCCCGCCCAGCCGGCACCCAACTTTTGTATCTCGTCTCCCTGCTCATCCACAGGTGGGTAAATATACCAAAATGTTCGTCTTGTTCTGGCGACTATTTTGGTATATGTACTTTACACACCTGTAGGTGAACAGGGAGCCGAGATACGATAGGTGGGTGTCGGCTGCGGGGGGGCGGGGGATAAACTGCACTTAAGCCGTAACCCTAGATTTTTTATATGAAGAAGCTAGCACGGAAAAGTTCGGTACTAGTATACACTGGGGGGTCAAAAAAATTTTCGACCAAAATTTCTCATTTTCGATCATTTTGTTGATTTTTCGTGCTGAATTAAATGAAGTGTTTCCAGATTTTTTTAGATCATGTTTTATAGTAATAATTACCTATGTATATTACAAGTAGGTTCAATAGTTTTTCAGTAGTATACCGTAGCACAAGCCGCAGATAAACCTAAGCCTAACCTGAGCCAAAGCCAAAGCTTAAGCCTAAGCCTAAGCCTAAGCATGCTATCCATTCTTCAACTTTTGGTCGCATGTAAAGGAGATCCATCTCTGCTAGTAACTGTTATTGTTGCCTAATTTTTATGTTGTTGCAATAATAAAAATTCTGTAAGCACTGGCATTCGATTCAGCATGAAAAACTGAACAAAATAGTGCAAAATGAGAAATTTTGGCCGAAAAAAAATTTTTCGACGCCCCCAAAGTATATACTAGTACCAAAAGTTCCCCCGAAACATTTAAGCCATAGCGCTTTGACCGGGCCGAAAACCTGCACACCTGTAGCCAAGCCAACTTCCCTTGTCTATAGCAAGTTTCAGCTGGTCCGCTAGTTGGAATGTCATAGCGGAACCTACATTGGAATTTCAAATTTTCATAAAAAGTTTAGAGAATTTTGTCATGCACGGGTCGATTTTGTATAAATTGTACACAAAATATCGTATTCTGGCTAAATATTCCGGGGAGTACCCGGTGCTAAGTTCTTAATGTGATTTGAATTGCGCAAAATTTGAATACGGAGCAACGAATGCTTACTGGCGGAGCCGCCATCAATCATCAGCAGCCGGACGGCGCGGGTCGAGTGTAGGGAAAGGACCAAGGGCTCCTAATTTACAAGTATCTTCCTAGAAGGCTAGCTATGCAAAATGCAAATTCTATGCGGCTGTAAATGCCCTAGTTCTCCGTCACTAGGGCGAATCGACCCTGCTCTTTCCGATGGCGTTTTTAGAAATTCAATAAAATATAAGTTTACAAAGTTAAAGCCGGTTTCATTCATTTTTGGGGTCCCTGTGAGCTAATCTGCATAATGCTAAAAAAATACAAAGCGCCTCATTGTGGCCAGTTGCGCGCGCGAGTTGAACTGAATTGACTAGAAAATCGGCCGGGGGAGGGGGAGGGGTCCGAAGGGCCCAGGCTATCGGAAAGTCAAACTCCTGATGCAAAGGCCGGCGAAACGGGTTTTGGGCATTGGTAATCTATAATTTCCTGAAACCCCAATACTTTATCATGCTCGTATCAATCGCAACAAACTAAATAAGAGCTGCGAAATCTGTCTGTCGTTCTCTTGCTTTCTCTCAGACTCGATTGCCAGTTTTCCGGATCATAGATCATATTTTTGCTTCACAAATTTATAGTTCCATGGCCCCTTTTTTGTTTATGGGGCGTTAGGCTGGCAATTTCCGAGGTTCCGCACCCCTCCGCCGGAGTTGATCCACACGTAGAAGACGCTAGAATTGAAATAGTTCTAGCTGCGTGGCCGTGCAAACCGTCCATTGTTGCGCCACGTTTTCTGACCCTGACCGGGTGGCGGGATGTACACGAAATCGGTGACTGAAACAAGGACAATGTTTTGAAAATGAACCACCAACGTTTTGGAAGCGACAGCTGCCATTCGTTGACTGCCTAAAAACGAAATGGAAAGGGTGCTAAACATGGGCTTATTTTTATCTTGTCGAAAATCAATTTGCCAAAATTCATTTTGTCGAAATTTCTACAAAATGATAGCAAATCCTAAATATGCAGTATGGTGACGACCTGAAAGGCGCCACACTCCCCAATCGTCTCAGCCACGTAGCCGACGACGCTCCCGGTACCGCCGAGGTTGAGACGGCCTAGAAGTTCAGCCAGAATTTTTTCAATTTTCCATTTTATTGGTACTTGACTTTTAGCGCGGGCGGCAAACCAATTTGGTTCTTTGGGATTCGCTTCGATTCGATTCTTTGGGAAGCAACTTTTTTGCTTAAAATCTTTTTATATCTAGCTAATGCGTTTCTACATTGTTTTTAGTTATTTCTAAGCGAAAAATTCTTTAGAAAATTCGATTTATAATATTAAATTCATGCTGAAAAATTGATTTTTACGCCCAAAGTGACAAATTTTCGACTTTTGCAAAACTTTGCTACATTTTTTTAAAGTTTTTGTACTGAAACATGGTTAAAACTTAATTTTAAAACGCTTTATATTTGACTATACTAGGCCAATCGCAACCGCCAAGAAAAATTTGGTTCTCCCGGCGTAATCTAAAGAGTCGCTAGTTTTAATTCTCCGTTCCTTGGCTTTTTGGCTTCGCTTTCCACGCACACGCAAAACTCGACTTGCTGGCCGTTCTGAATTAGTACCCACCATTTCGAATGGTCAGTGCGACAAGGTTGCACCCGGCCACCTTTTGGCGCAGGACGCAGAACAGGCTGAAAGATATGAAGCTCGAAAACGTATTACCTTACCCATTTTCCGCCTTGACCTGGCCAACCCCGGTCGGCCTGGTTTTCGTCCAACGATGCTGACGGTCGGCGTACACCCACCAACGCGGCATTCCGATGAGTTGGCCGCGAAGTTCGGCTAAAAAGATTGGAATAGAAGAGATGAGAGAGAGACAGAGAGAGAGAGTCAGGAGAGATAGAGAGCGAGAGAGAGAGAGAGAGAGAGAGAGAGAGAGAGAGAGAAAGAGAGAGGTTGGCCGAATGTGGGAGAGCACGAGATAGAGAGAGAGAGCGATAGAAAGCGGCGAGAACCAGCGCGGGAGAGTGTGTGCGAAAGAATGAGCCAGATATAGGAAAAGTGATAGAGCGTTAGGGACGGAGAGAGAAAGAGAGTGAGAGATAGCAAGAGAGATAGAGCGAGAGCGAGAGAAAGAGAGAAACGGAGTGTAAGAGATGTTCATAGATTTATACGCCCATGCGCGGCTTGCACCTCTGTTTAAAGTGACGTGCTATAGACCCTCAACTACCGGCGGCCGAGCCGAGGAAGAGCCTAGATTCTTCTTGTTCTAATTATCCCAAAAACACCACGACACGCAACGCCCGTTCGCCGTTCCGTGTAACCCCTTTGCGCCGTAATGCCCTCAAACTTGACCGACTTTTGCCGAAGCATCCACGTGTCCTCAGCTGGGTACTGCCACGGGTCCTCGGCAACCTGTCGCGGCGCTCGAACCAGGCCCGGTAGCACTTGCCGTTGTACCACTCGACACCTATCGATGTATTGAAAGTTATAGTAATTTTTTAATGCCCTATTTGCCCTCCTCCAGCCCCTACAGCAGGCTTCAACTACTGCCCTAGGCTCCCGCTGTGCTACATGTCGTAAAGTATCTCAAAATGCCTCTCTTGGTCAGTCGCTTTAAAATAGATTACATTTGCGTTTGCAAAACAACGGCAGCTAAGAATTCTGGCTAATAACCATTATCAAACTTCGAGACAATTTCCCTGATCGCAATCTTCGTTGCATAGATTTGCATAAAAATTGCGTTCAAAAAAGAAAACCGGTTGGGCGGAACTTTTGTAGGCACCACGGCACTTCCGGATGATGATAATATGTAGTAGCTAAGCAGGGCGAGTTGCTTTCAAGAAGCGATTTTTAATTTTTTGAGAACCCTGTCCACTTCGCAATTTTTGAAATCCGGGAATTTTTTGGAACTTAAAGCTTTATCGAGCCATTTATGTGGCACCGAAAATCTCCAGAAGTGCCTAAAAACGGCTTCTTGTCAGGCCGGCCATTCCACACCCCGGGCCGTTTTGCTATTAGTTAGTTGACTGCGTGCTCGCCCGCTTTGGGCTTTTCTGACCTTGGCACTCTGCCACCTGATAGCAAGCGGCCACACAGCGATCCGGGCTTGACGACAACTCAGCGCCGCGGAATCCGTAGAACGTCAATTCGGTCATGTACTGAAAATGACCCATTCTGATGAATGTTTTTACAAAGCAGCTATCTGGTATTTCCAGTTTTTGGCTTCCCTGCCCCTTTAAAGGTAGCGTTTCAAGAGCTTAATTATTGCAATTTTTCGTCCTTTCGATTCTTTAATCCAGCCTTGTTAACATAACCCACCGTGCCAGTTTTTCCGTAGGAGCTGCTGCTGCACGACCGAACTGAAAAAAACACGAGTCACGGGGGTGTTCGAGTGAAATAACACCCTTCTAACTTGACGCAAAAGTATCGCATCGGAAAGGTAGTTGCACCATTCGAAAGCCCTTTAAACGGCGAGTTTACCACATCGCTCAAAAACATGTTTATATTTAAATCCGCCATTTTAGAAGCCATTTAGCAAAATTTTGCGGTTTTCGGGGTAGCATCCGAGCTAATTTACCTCCAGTTTCTGAAGCACTATGACCGGAACTAACATTTAGTTTGATGCAAAAACCCCTTTTAATGTTTTTAACTCTGTAAAATGGCGTTTTTAAACAAAAACATGTTTTGAAGATTGTTTCAAACTCGCCGTTTCAAGTGCTTTCGAATGGTCTAACCATGACTACGACCCGATATTTCTGCGTCGAGTTAGGAGGGGGTGTTCTTTTTATTGGGACACCCTATAGAGTTTGTAGCCGCCAAATTCTCACTTTTCTTGCCGTTATTGCCATGACCGTTTTGCCCGCTTCCGCTGTCCTCGTCGCTGTCGTCGGTCCAACTGCCGACGCCGCCGCCTTTCCCGTCGTCTCCGCGACCTCCTCCTTTTCCACCGTTTCCGCCCTTCCCTCCATTACCACCGCTTCCGCCCTTGCCACCTTTCCCTGAAATGGGTGGTTATGAGAAAACAGAAAGATTCCCAATATTTTCTAAAGGGGTCGGCAAGAACAGACTGTAGATTTTTGGCACTGGTCTGTTATCGGGGGGAGGAAGCGGGAAGACTTTTGGCAGGTCAGCCAATCTTTGTTTTGCCGCCTTTGCCCATATTTTGATAATCAATATATATTTTTCCAATACTTGTTGTAGGTTTGGACTGCCAAAAACTTATCAAAAGTAATTTCAAAATTTTAACTTAAAAAATTTTGTCTTTTTGGGTCGTTTCAGCATACAGCTCCGACCAAAACTTTCATAATTATTGTGGGAGTTTTTTTTACCAGAAGACGATAGAAAATACTAGAAAAATCAATTAAATTTCGTTATCTGCCGTACCGGATTACTTGGATAAATTTGTCCAATAAGCCCCCCCCCCGCTAACAGCCCAGTACTAATTTTCCGCGTTTTTTCCGTACGGGTCGGGTTGCGTCTCGCGGGCACGGTACAAATAGCAAAAACGCAGGCCGGACAAAATCCACAGCAATGCCTTGCCAGTCCCTTTAAAGCAGCCTAGACCTTACCCATTCCCAACGCCTCCATTAGCGCATCGGCGTCGATGTTGATTGAGATCTGTAACGGGGATTATGACGGAAACCATCCATCTAGTACGCCTTATTTTAAGTAGCACAGTGTTTTCATATTTTTTTTATCTTGTAGCGCTAAAAAAGCTGCGTTGCGACATTTATTTCACTGTCGAAACCCACGTCCTGCGTGATGATCGTGCCGCCAGCACCCCCATCAGCCGGCACCGAGATCGGGATGTATGGGGCGTTCGGGTCGAAGGGCGGGAAAGCCGGCACATTTGGCGAGTCGTAACCTCCGTCAGGAGGACCGCCCGGCTGGGTTAGACCCTGAAATCCGACGTTATATAACTTTGGCGTGTAGTCCGTGTGTGTGGATTTCACATTCGAGGCACGATTTGATGCCCGTCCTGTGCAAAATGCTCTAATTCTCCATCACTTCGGGGAATCGTCCCTGCTGTTTCCGATGGCGTTTTTAGCATCTGTCACTCCTCTAAAGGGTGACTTCGCCGGGGCGGCCATACTAGGCCCTGGGGGAGGCCGCCGTCTCGTATGAAGCTGGCCCACTTGGCCCCTTTCCTCACTCCTTCCAAATCCCCCCAACCCCAACTTCGCCCTTGGCTCGGCTCGCCGGTTCCACTTAGGACCCGACAAGAGCTAAAAGGGATTTGGTGTATTTAAGTGCTACGCAATAAACATCATACCTTATAATAGCCGCACCCTATTATAATAACATCCAAAATCCACTGAACACTACACCGACGCGAATATAGGTGCGACAGCATCCGAATAAACCACAAGTTTACACAGTTGCAGCAGGTTTGATTCATTCTTGGGGGTCCGGCTGAGCTAATTTGCATAATGTCAAAAAAAAGAAATTTCCTCATTCTTGCGAGCTGCACCCGCGCGTGTGGTCGTGAGAGGGACCCGGACCCGAAGGACCCGGGCTC